TCCCTCAATACACACACACACACACACACACACACACACACACACACACAGGAACAAGAACCCTTGGAACAGCTCAGGTGCCTGGCCTGGTCTTGGATTCAGTCATCATTTTCATTTATACACTTTCATTTCAAGGCAGGGAGACAGAGATCTCCTATCTGCTGGATCACTCCTTAGATTAGCCCACCATAGCCAAGGCTAACCCAAGCCCAAACCAGGAGCCAGGAACCCAATGACATGGGCCCTTACCTTTTCCTCCCAGGATGGGCATGATGAGCAGGAAACTGGGATCAGATGTGGGGCTGGGCCTTGAACCTAGGTACTGCCGTGTAAAATGCGAGCACCCCCCAAGCAGCAGTTCAACTGTTGTGCCAAATGCTTGCCCCTCAGTCATCTGTTCTTCAATTCACTGCTACCCTGCCCCCAGGCCTGGCTTCTGTAAGATCCTCAAAAAGGGCAAGTCTCTCCCCATCCCCTCAGCTGGCCTGGCCACAGGTCTCCTCAGCAGGCAGAAATCTGCACTTGCTCTGGCAGTGCGGCCTCTGCCTCCGGTGCCTCCACCTGTGCTGGCTCCCAAATTGGGAGGTTGAGGGGACAGCTCCTTTTGCCCCTTTGCCAGCTGCGGGCTGTGCTCAGGGCGGCTGTGCTGTGCTCTCCCTTGGGGCTGTGGCCGGCCATCTTTCACGCAGAGTTACGTAAGCTTGAGTCAATTGGGGCTCAGAGCGGTTCATTGTGGGCTATTTTTAAGCTGCAACACATCGCAGCAGAGGGGTCACTGCACCACCGGCTTGCAGGGAAGGTTGTTGAAACATCTGTTATTTAAATTTCCCTGTGCCTTGGAGCTCAGAAAGGCGCATCTGCTGATGGCTTCTGCCTTCCTCATCCCAGATTAGGAATGGATTACTTCCCCTCGACCTGCCACATGTTCTTAGGGCTGGGGTTCTCTCTCCCTGGGGTGCTGCTTCCTCTGGGGTCAAGCAGGGGCACCAAGAGGCAGGGCGGCTCATACAGCTCCTTTTACAACCTGGTCCGGCTTCCATGAAATGGGTACATCCATGGGGTCAGAGGAAACATCAGGCAAAAGTGCCCCCAGAGCTGGGGCCCCCAGGCCACTGTGACAGCTCCAGAGAGCAGGGATTTGGGAGAGACAGGCACATAGGAGGAGCTGGGAGTGGAGCCTGGAGGCCCAGCCTGCATTTCTCATCCTCAGGGGCCTGAGGTTCCCTGTCGGTACCTGGAGGGTTATGTCACAAGATCCTCCTGGGTATTCCGGAAGTCAGTCTTTGCCTGGCTCTGCTCCTAGCTGGAACGCCCTTCCTGCGCACATCTAAGTGCTACTCAACTGCAGCCTCAGGGACAAAAGGGCTAGGCTGAGAACCCCTGGACGCTGGCCCGGTGGGAAGGAGTCTGGGGACACCGGCTTGTTTCCTATCCACTCTTGAGCTGATCACTGCCTCAGGAGCACACTGAGGCTCCTGCTGACCTTAGGGTTCTGAAACAGTCCCAAGACTTCTCCTCCCTGCCACCTAGGGGTAGGCACAGAGAGGGGCAGAGGACAGGACTCTCATGCTAGGGCACTAAAAGAAGGTCTGTATTGGAGAAGTAGATCTGGAGGACTTGGCCCTTCCCAGAGCTCCGTGCTTCTTCCTTTTATGTCCCAACGGCCACTTTTCCACTGTCCTGAGGGCCTCCTAGGTGGGAGGGTTGGCTCTGATCTAGAGGGAGAAGGGCACCCCAGGATGACTGTACTCTCTCCCCTTGGGCTGCCCGGGAGGCCAAGGTGAAGGTGAGCTGGAAGGCCATGCAGGCACTGGGACTTGCCCTCCCTTTGGGCTGCCCCCTCCAGCCTTGCCCACAGACTGAGCTCCTTGCCACCCTCTGGCACCCCACAGCCCTCGGCCTGGGGAATGGGCTCGGCTGGAGGGGGAGGGGCTCTCCAGGTTGCCATGGTAACGTGTTGGCCCTCCTCACTTCCCAGAATCAGAAATAGAATTGGACGCCCTTCTTCCTGGTGAGAGACTATTTAAAAACACAGGGTGGGGGAGGGCACAGGGGGCTATCTTTAGGGGCCAGGTATAAGGGACCCCTCCTAGGAGTCTCTTGACTTTCCTTGCTGCTCCTCCCCACCGCTGGACGAAATGAGAACGGCCTTTGGCCAAGCCAAGAGCTCTGAGTATAAAAGCCTCAGCTTGACCCCCATGGGGTGTGCAACTGGCCCATGTACAGGACTTCCAGGTTCTTGGAAAGATACTGGCTTAGCTGGCATCCACAGGGAAAGTAGCTAGACAACCTGCTAATCTATGGAGGGGAGGAGGAACAGGGCTGGGGAGCACCCAGTGTGGGTGTGTGGCTTGGGGCTATAGCACCCAGAAGGGAGGAACAGGCCCATGGCTATGTGGCACCCAGTGGTGACACTTCGGATTCAGAGTGGTGTGAGCTGCCTTTGATTCTGGTTTGGCTGTGCACTGTGAAGCAGACCACTGTCCCTCTCTGTGCTGTGATGTCTTCATCTATAAGAACGATGCAATAATGCCCAGCTCCCAGCATGGCCACGAGGCTGAGTCACGTGTACTCCACCCTGAGCTGGTCCCACACAAAGATCCAACAGACGACAGACATTGCCGCAGGGGGAGTTTGCTTCCAAGGTGGGATAGGCCTGCTCTCCCTGGCTGCCTCCTGCAAGACTCTTCCTTTACCAGTGGCTCCTTCAGGCCAGCTCCACTCTCTTTCCCTAGGGGACCCCAGGACCAGGAAGGACCCCAGTCCTGGAAAGGGGAGAGGAGAGTTATTTCTCATCTCTACAGGCAGTGGAGGATGGCCTAGCGGTCAAGCCAGCTGGAGGCTTTTAGGGTCTCCCCCAAACCACTCAGGCGCAGCCCAGCTCAGATACTGCAGGCACAGGAGACTGCCGTCAGCGCCTCTGCCAGGAACAAACAACGCACGAAAAACAGCTTGTCTGGGCCCGAGAGGAATGCAGGGAACAATGCTCGGAGAGTGTGTGCCCATGGGCGTACACACACACACATGCACGCACGCACGCACCCACAGGCTACAAACCCTGGGGCTTCCGCAGCAGCATGCAAGCTGCTCAACCCGATGTCCAGAGCCATCTGCCCCATTCTTAATGAAGGCAGCACACAGGGAAGGAGGGCGGGGCCCCGAGGCTGAGTCAGGCTTTGCCCAGTGCAAGCCTGCATCTTTGGTTACCAAACCTCCAAGCCCTCAGCTACCATAACCACAGTCGTTAGCCTCCAAAAACACACTGGCTTTGGGGAACAAGTCTATGTTGCCTTCTCCACAGCCCTTTGCCTGGGTGGAAAGGCTGAGGTAGGTCTGAAAAGATTTGGTCCTGAAAGAACAATGGAGGGTGCTCTGACCTCTGAGCTGAAAGCAGGCAGCAGCTCAGGGCTGGGCCGTAGCAATAGGTGACTCCCAGAAGTGTAGCCTATAGGTGGGTGGTATGGTGCAATGGGTTAACTTGTTGCCTGGGATACATTCCATAGCAGAGTGCTGGGCTCAGGGTCCTGCCCCTGCTTCAGATCCAGCTTCCTGCTAAGGGGCAACTTGCAAGCCAGCAAGTGATGGCTAAAATACCTGGTCCTTTCCACCCAGGATGGGAAACTGGGATACAGTTCAACCTGGTCTAGCACAAGCTAATTGCAGACATTTTGGAGTTAATGCAGCAGACGAAGAATTTGTCTGTCATCTGCCTTTCAAAACAAACAAACAAAAAAGTCCTTTTGCTGCCTAGCGTCCTCTGAGACTGACAGGCAGATCCCACCCCTCCCTGCCCCTTTCTTCCCTACCTCAGAAATAGAGGGTGGGGGCTGGACACGGTGGTGTAGTGGTTAAGCTGCTGCTCAGGATGCCCTGGTTTAAGTCCCAGTGAATCCAGATTCCAATCAGTTTCCTGCTAATGCACCTAAAAGGCAATAGATTTGGACCCAAGTCTAAGACATCCATGTAGGGGACCAGGAAGGAGTTGTTGGCTCCTGACTTTGGTCTGACCTGACGCTGACCCTTGTGGGCATTTGAGGAGTGGGTCAATGGATAGATCTCTCTTTCTTGTGTCTCTGTCTTGAGTCCTCTTTATCTGTCACTCTGCCTTTATTTAGGACAAATTGGAGATTGGAACTGGATTTGCACCTGCCCTGTGTCTAGTCTGTCCTTCCTGTGTGTACCACGCTATGTTTGCTTGCTCTCAGAGCTGCGCCCACTGTGTGCCAGACCAGATCCACACTCTGTAGCCCATCTCATGCCTGTTGGGTCCCTATTGAGGCCCCATGTTGTGATTGCCACTTGATTAGCCCTGTAGACACTGTGACCTAGCTCTGCTCCCCACGCCGCTTCTGACCAAGGTGCAGCCAACACAATAGGACAAGAGCTAGAACATTCTGACTTGCGAATTCTGAACTGAGGTTCCCCTTCCCCCCACCCACTTTCCTCTCCAACATCCCTCTCCCTACGGGGTGTTGGTGCTGGGCCTAGGGGACATGTGGCTCTGGGGAGGGGGCTCAGTGAGGCACAGGCATAAGAGAACCATCTGGAGCAGCAGAGACTGCCAAGGAGCTGCTGTCCCCGGAGTGGGAGCTGGAAAACACAGGGGAGGAGAGCTTGGGCCCCAGCCTGAGCCCCCTCACCCTCTTCTGCCTCCCCAAAACTAGGCGGGAAGGAGGCTTCTTCCCTGCTCTCCCTGAAAAAGCTTCCTTCAGATCTCCCCTGTCCACCGCAGAATCCCTTCCCCTTTTAGCACTGACCTTGACAGAGTAGTCACTTGGCCAATAAGGAGAAAAAGAGGCTGACCCGTCACTGACTCACTTCACAGGGGTCCCTGAGCCTCTTTGCTGCCTGAGATTTCCTGGGCAGGCCTCCATTCCTCAGGGGGTGGGGCCCCTGGTTTCCTGCACTCTGTTCCTTCCCAGGTCACTGGGGGCTATGATGTGTGGGGGTTGCCATGACAGTAAAGTGGGGGCAGGGCACCCAGGACATGGAACAGGACTATGGAAGCCACCAAGAAGGTGGGGGGCCCTGATCCATCAGGCCACCAGGACCACCCCTTGGTCAGCAGCCAGCATCTGGGGGGTAGTCTCAGAGGATCCCAGGGACTGTGGATAAACCCGGGATCTCTATACGTCAAGCAGGGGCTATCACTGTCCAATGAGACTGCCATTGATGGGACCTGCGGCTCAATCCTCCAAGCCCACCTGCCTGAGTCCGTTCACCAGCAGCTCCGTAACTCCTCCAGGGCCAGTTCCCAGTGCGAGAGTGAGCAGTCCTCCCAGGATACATCAAGACTGTCTTCCACTGACCCATTTCCAAGTTCCATCGTGGGAGGAGCCCCACAGCATCTCAACCTGGAGGACAGGACCCTGCTCTTACCTGTATGCAGGCTCAGTGGCAGTGGTAGTGACATGTCCCAGCACGGACCCTGCAACCCCCGACTCCAGGTGCAGGTTGGGAGTGAGATCAAGGCTCCAGCCAAAGTCTTGGTAGGCTGGGGCAAAGAGCCCTGCAACCCCAAACAAATGGCTCCGGTGGTCAACAGGAAGAGTCGGTGGTTACCCTACTTCTTCTCAGGAGAGCATGGGCTAATTGAAGGCCAAGGTCCTCTTCTAGCTCCAGCTCAGCTCCCAGCTCAAGATCAGGGCCAGGGCAAGCAGCCAGGTCCGGCTCAGGCTAAAACTTCTTCACTGTCACTGGCTCCTCCAGTGGCTTCAGTGGCTCCAGCAGTGGCTCCAGTAGCTCCAGCAATGGCTCCAGTGGCTCCAGCAGCGGTTCCAGTGGCTCCAGCAGCAGTTCCAGCTCAGGTAATGACAACTCCGGCTCAGGATGTGACCCCAACACCTGCTGCAGTCGAACCTCACACCCCTGAACACCAGAATGAAGCCATTTTAGTTCCCAAGGGCCTCTCTCAGGACCTCCTCCTCAGGTGTGGCAACCAATGGTCAGTTCTCATGCAGTCTTCCAAAGTGGCCAACTCTTGCCAAGACAAGATGAACTTTTACTCCAAGGAGACTTCCACCCTGACGCCTACTCTGGAAGAGTTTGTGGAGCACATGCAGGAGTTCGAGATTATCCAAAGGCAGGTCACACCTGAACAGCCTGAGACATTGAGGGAGAAGCCGCTGGGCTATACCTCCATGCCTGGCAGCCCAATACTGAGTCAGAAGACCCCAGACACCCCCAAGACCCAAAGTAGCCACGACATCCAGAGTTCTCGGCCAGAGAAGCAGCCACCCAACAGTTCCACCAAGAGCAGCCCCAGTGTGCCACTGTCTGCCCACCAGGTCACCTCTCACAAGCAGCCCTTGTCCCAGTATCCCCAGGAAGCCATGCAGATTCCCCCACCCAGTGCCCCCACCTGCCAGCTCAGGGATGCCGTGGAAGATCGTGTGCTGGTGTTTGACATGGCCACAGGCAACACCAGGATGGGGCTGCTGTGCCATGACCCTATGGGTTCCCGGGCAGTACTGGTGGGCCTCATGCCCAATGCCCCTTCTCTCTATGCTTCTGAAACCTTGCCATCCTCCCGGTCACTGGGCAAGCCCATTCTCTCCCCTGACAGCAATCACTCCACCTTCTGGCCCACCACACCCATGCTCTCCAGCCCTGTGCCCTCCAGCCTGTCATCTGGCAGCTACCGAGAGGTGGCTCTGGTTCCCAAGGAAGGCAGACTCCACCTGGAGGCCTGGAACGCTCCAGGCACAGAGACACCCATTGGAGTCGGGATGCTCACTGGGCCTGTACAGCTCGGAATGCCCCTCCAGTTTAGAGACAGGATCCTGACACATGGCCCTGATCCTGGCTGGTCCAAACCTGAGGCTGACAAAGCTGGATCTAGTCGTACCATCTGGATGCTAGATTCCCTGAGGATGCCAGAGGCCAAGAAACTCCAGTGGGTGAACTCAGAATTGGCTTCAACGCCCAACACACAGCAGGTGCCTGAATCCTCACTTCAGGAGGACTTGCACAACCATAAACAGAAAGAGGTTATTGCCATTCTCCCTGAAGGCACTCGGGCTGAAGATGCTGGACAGGCCTCTCTCACTGGTCAGATGTTTCTCAATGGGCAGAGCCTACTTGCTGGACAACCACCTCTAACCAGGAAGCCCTCCTTCACCAAGCAGACCCCCCTTCCCAACCAGCCCCCTCTCACCGGGCAGACCCCTCCTGCTATCCAAATTTCCTCCTCTGGGCAGGTGCCAGTCGCTGGGAAGCCCCTCGTTATCAAAGAGACCCCTCTCTCAAGAGGGCCCCCCACCACCACCACAATCACTGGAGAGCCTGTCCAGGCCTCTGCCCAGGAAAGTGAGCCCTTGGACCTGCCTCCCCATGTTGGGGTGCTCCGGGTGCCCCTGGCCCCTGAGGAGGCCTCTATCTACATGGGCCAAGACAAAGTTGGCATCGGTAGTACAGAAAGCACCAGCATACATCGGCTCTCATCCTGGCAATCCGGCAACTCCCAGGGGACACAGGAGGAGCAGCTTTCCTTCATCACTTTTACCACGCCTGGCAAGGCCTTGCCCATGGCCATTGTGAACACCGAGCCCCAGAATGTTCGGTTCAAGCTGACGGCTGAGGACGTCACCCGCCAGCCTATGGTCGCGCACCTTGGCCTGCTCCACGGGACCTGCTATGAGCTGGTATCCACCGTGGATACCCTACCTGTGCAGTCCCCCGTGCTCTGCCGCCATTCACTCAGTCCCTACCAGGGCATGGCGGCTGTGGTGATCGACACTGGTACAGGATTCACCAAATGTGGGCTGGCTGGGGAGAACCATGTCCTCAACGTGGTCCCTTCACGAGTCCAGCTGCTGCAGCACGCAGCCCAGGGCCAGCCCCGGTATGCTGTACCTGAAAACCAAGAGGGCTCCTACCCGATGCTGAACAGAGGTGTGGTCTCTGACTGGGACGCGCTTGAAGTGCTGTGGCAGCACCTGTTCTATTGCAGACTGGGCGTGCAGTCAGAAGAACTGGCTGTGCTCGTGGCCGACTCGCCCATCTCACCGCGGACCAATCGGGAGAAGGTGGCAGAGATCTTGTTTGAGCGCTTCCGGGTGCCTGCAATGCAGACCGTGCACCAGGCCCTGCTGGCACTTTATGCTTACGGGCGCACCACAGGTCTGGTTGTGGGCAGTGGCCATGGCACTTCATATGTGGCACCCATCCTCACCGGAGACCTGGCTCCGCTTGACACCTACCGACTAGATGTGGCCGGTGGTGACCTCACTGAATATTTGACTCAACTATTGCTGGCAGGTGGCCACTCACCCCCCAAAGCAGGGCTGGTCAACCAGATTAAAGAGGCCTGCTGCTACGTGGCCATGGATATGACTGCCGAGATGGCCCGGACCCAAGCCCAGGCCAGAGTGGACTTTGTGCTCCCGGATAAGCAGGTTATCACGCTGGGCTCAGAGCGGTTCTGCTGCCCCGAAGCCCTCTTCCAGCCCAATCTGCTGGGCCTCAACCAGCCTGGCCTCCCACAGCTGGCCTTGCTCAGTATCAGCAGGCTGGAGGCCAAGCAGCAGGAACAGCTATTAGCTAACGTGGTGCTGGATGGTGGCAGCACTCTGCTGAGTGGCTTCCCCGAGCGCCTGAAGCAGGAATTGGGCCACAGGGCCACCGTGCTGGGCTCCCCACACCGTGCAGTGGCTGCCTGGCTTGGGGGCTCAATCATGGCATGTCGGGACTCGTTCCAGAGCCTGTGGCTCAGTCGTCGTGAGTACGAGGAAGAGGGCCCATGGGCTATCTACAAGTACCAGCTGTGAACACATGAAAGCTCTGGTTCTGCTTGCACTTAGCTTCATGGCATGCTTCTGTGGCAGGGTGGTATGTGGAAGGCAGGAGCTAGGGGCCTACAATCTGGGCCAGTGGTGTGTGTGTGTGTGTGTGTGTGTGTGTAGGGTGGCCCTGCTTCCATGCTCTGGAACTCACAGGCCCTGGCAACCTACCCTTTCTTGGAGGGCCCAAGAGTTCCTTGCCTGGTATTGGCTCTGGTCTGGCCTGACCTTTACTGCACCCCAAGGGCAACCACAGAGAGTGGCTGCTGTGGGTTTTACCCTGTTGCCCTGACGACAAATGCAATTACCCTTGATTGCCAGCTAGTTGCCATGGCAATTTCAAACATAATGTAATAACCCACACAGCTTGGAGTGAGTCATGAGGTGGGGACTGGGGGAGCAGCCCCCTCCCCTAGCTTCAGAGGGAAAGACTGCGTACAATCCCCCCACCAACCCTATCTGGAGCCCTCTTCTGGTGGTCGAAGATCTGGTCAACAGCTGAGCCATCCCAAGTTGCGGAGATGGCTGGGGGTCTGGAGTGTTGGTTGTTAAGGAAGGGTCTCTGACTGACTTTTGACTTCTTAGGGAGGTGGAGGGTGGAGGTTGAACATCCTGTAGGGACACCGGGCTGGAGCTTTGTGCTGGGTAGCCAGAGCTTCTGTGGGCTTGCCAGAGTAGGAGGATGTAGGAGTGCTGCCTCCTGGCCCTTGGGGGCAGGGAGTGGAAAGGCTCCTGGCTCCTGGGTTCTGGGTAGCAGCGCATTGAGGTGGAGATGAGACACTGGCCGCTCCGCAGGCTTTGTGGACACTAAGCTCCTGCTTGATCCTGCCCCTCTGGCCTTCCAGCTTTGGTGGGAGCCAAAGCTATAAATGTCACGCTCCTTCCTCAGCCTCCTAATCAGCCGGTCTAAAAGACCTCCTCAGGAGGGGTTTCCCAGAGGTTACCAGGCAATGTTAACGCCCGCAGCCTCTGATCTTGACCTGAACTGCACCCTGTGCTGGTTGGGTCTCCTACTAGTCCTCTGACCAGTGGGAGAGCAGCAGTGTTGCGGGGGAGGAGTGGGTTGGTTAGCTGGAAGCCAGTCAGTCCCCTGGCCCTGTCTGGCTCTAAATAATGAATGTGGCAATGAACCTCAACACTGGCTGGGTCCATGGCCTGGCATTGTGGGAGGCGAGATTCTGCCGGTGTGATTACTCTCTATTGAGATGGCAGTTGAAGAAGGAAATCAAAAACACTGAAGTTTGCCCCACCAGCCTCCATGTCCTGAGCTGAGGGCCACACCATATCCCAGCCCCAGCCCTGGGTTCTACTTCTCTACCCATCCTTGCTTCCTTTGTATCCCTCAGAGTAAGGGGCTGCCTGGTGGGGGGACTGAATGGTGTTGGCGTCGCAGGCCCTGCTTGCCTCTTGGCGTGGCTCATCTCCTTCCTGTGTCCTGCTCTCAACAGCCTGATTCAGCCTCCGCAAACCTGAGACTTGTGTCAGGCAGGAAAGGGGGCTGGCAGCTCCAGAGACCGGAGACAGCTGTACACGTGCCAGCAAGCACGCCTGGGTGCACGTGGAATGCAGACACACGTGCCCCTGGGCACCGGTGCACACACATTGTGCTGCTGCCATTTTCCTCAATGTAAGAGCATACACATACACGCACACACATGCATGCGTGCATACACTCCCTGCCACGTGCTGTCACCCACGTGCCACAGAATGTGCCTAGAACCCAGAAGAGGTGGAGGACTGCCAGGAGCAAGCAGGGCTCCTAGGAAACACCCCTTCCTCCTGCCTAGCAATCCCCAGCCCAGCTTCTTCCCCATGCCTGCATAACCATGACCCTTGAGGAAGGCACAAAATGTGTGTATTGTGTGGGGTTAGTGAACCACGGCTTGTCCTTACCATATAAGCACACAAACCCACTATGTTAAGAACAGCGGCTAGATGGTGGGAAGAATTGAGGACCAGGTCACTCCATTCTGCAGACATAAACTGCATGTACAGAGAGGAAATCTCAATCCAGCTGGGGTGGGGGGAGGGGAGTTGGTACTATCACCACCATCACCTGGATTCGGTACTGGCTAAAACCAGGCAAGGTTGTAAAGGGTTTTTTTAAGCACCCTCTTCTCTCCCTCTGGAGAAAGGCTTCCAGAGGCCTTGCTGGAGGCAGTCATTTGCCAATCTAGCCCCAAGTTCTTTACTCAAATAGTCCCTCCTGTTAGCCCTTGTGGGTCACCATGTGGGGGAACCTCACTCGGCAAAGCTGAGGGTTTGAGAGTAATCCCATGCCGTCCCAGCCCAGAGCAGGGGCAGAGGGCTCAGTGGGTGGGGCTGGGGAGGCTGAGTCTAGCTCCAGACCCTGAGAGGCTCAAGTCGGGCCTAAGGTGCTGGTCTCAGGGTAGTCCTCAAGACTGCGAAAAGATGGGGCAGGTAATGAAGCCAAGTGCCTGCCAGGTAAGGAACAGGTCCACAGTCAAGAATATTATTCATAGTTTCTTCCCAGTACTTCTGGGTCTCCATGGAGAGGAAAGGCTTGGTGGTGCACACCTTGGTACTATAGTTCTCTTATGTTCCTATAGACTAGCCCAGACCACTCAGGAAGCAGGGCTTACTAAAGTGTTAGGGGGTGACTGGCCTGGGAGGAAAGCAGAGTCTATGTCACATCATATATGACTTGCATGGTTTGGGAGACTCAGTGCCACAAAAGATAGGGCAGACAGGGCAACTTTTTTAAATGGTTCATTTAACGTGGAGAGAGAGCTCTTTCATCTGCTGGTTCACCCCCCAAATGCTCACCGCAACCAAGACCCATGAACTCCATCCAGTTCTCCCCAGCAGGTGGCAAGTGCCTGGGCTACCATCTGCTGTCATCCAGGCTACCCACGCACAGGAGGGTGAGTCAGAAGCAGAGCCAGGTCTTGGATTGAACACGAAAAGGCTAGTGTCTCCAGGAGCGACTTAACCCCTGTGGCAAACACCTGCCCTCCTTGGCTGTGGCTTGTGATTAGTGGACTTGCAAGAGCTGGAGTTAAGAGTGAGGTAGAAGGCTCTTTCGTGGGAACTGGGACCCTTACAGGGCTACGTGCTGCCTCCAGTTAAGGGGACCTTCTGCAGGACACTGCTCACCACTATCTATGTGGTTCCTCTAAGTGAGTGTTGCTCTTTGGGTTCAGTTTGGGGAGTTGGGCAGGTCTCCCCCAAAACAACACACATACCCAGATGTTACTGCCTGCTGATTCCTGTGCAGTGCAAAGCCTTCGGCTTCCTCCCAGGCCTGCCGTTGTTTAGCCAGGAGTCCATGGGCCTGAGGGAGCCATTGAGAGACTGGCCGGGACTGGACAGGTCAGTGCGCCTCGAGTGGAACTCCAGCCTCAGGCTCCTCCAGGGGCGGGGCGGGGCCTCTCAGGCGGCCCCGCCCCCAGCCCGCCCCCGGCCCAGGGTGCGAATCCGGTGCCGGGGAGCGACTGGCGATGCTGGAGGTTTCTGAGCCGAAGCGGCTGCAGCTGGCGCCGCGTCTGCCCCGCGTGCCCGGAGCAGATTCTGCCCGCCGCCCCCGGAGCCCTCGGCGCCCTGCTGAGCCCACGATCCTTTCCTCCCCGTGACCGACCGGCGCTGCAGGTGCGAAGCAGGTCCAGCCTGGTTGGGGTGGAGAGGGGTGGGGAACCGTCTCCTGGATGAAGGTTGGGGGGTTTGGGGCAGTTGTCCCCCTCCCCTCACCCTGACTCGAGGTTCTGGGCGCAGAGAGCGTGGGAGCGCCTCGAGGGCGCCAAGTCCCGGCGGGGGCAGAACGCGCGGGCTCTGCAGATCCTGGGGGCGGTGTGCGGGGTCGGGCTAAAGTTCCTGGTAGCCTAGGACGGCTCCAGGGCCCGGGGTGGAAGCCTCTGTAGCTCCGATTGTAATAACATTTAACCCTCGAAAATTCGTGGTGCCCGGTGAGGGTCGGGGCCAAGGGCCGAGCGGTTCCTCCCTGGCTCCCAAAGCCTCCTCGAGCCCCTCCCAACTACCCCCGGATCCCCTCCCTCCAGCTTAGCAGTCACTAATTTCCATGACAACGGAGAGTTCTTTATGGGCGACAGCCCGGAGGGGGGCTGGGCGGGGCTACTGCGGGGTGGGGGAGGAGGCCCCAAACCTTGGGGGACCAGCAGCCCCTTAGCCACGACCGAGTCTTCAGATCTTGACCTAAGGGCTTGCCGGGGGTCCAGTGCACCGACCCACGTGCGCGGTGCGGGAGGGGAGTGGAGGGTGGGGGCGCACAAGTTGCTGATGGGAGCTGCGGGCTCGGTGCTCACACGTGTGCCTTCCGCATGTGTGTTGCTGTGCCAGCGGGGGCGAGCCAGCAGCACTGAGGAAGGGGGTCAGGGTGGCACCGCGGGAAGGAGCAGAGCGCTTGGTTGGTGGTCCAAGGGACAGGTGGAAATGGTGAATTTGTGCCCTCATCAGCCTCCACTGTCTGGTAGAGACCCTGGACTCTTGAGTCCCAATGCCCACCCTGTCCCCTCCCCATGAGCTTTGGCAAACAGCCTTTGTCTGCACCCCACAGAGTCTGATTTTTTTCAGTTTCTTTCCTATTAGTAGGGCTTTCTGTCCCTCCCAGAGACCTGGGTCAGCTCTCCTGCGTCCCTATTCTGCCCTCTCCCCCGCCCTCAGCCCTGAGGGGTGGAGTTCCTTAAAACCATCATTAAGGATCTAGTGCCCTCCTCCCCTGCCAGCTCCAGCCAGACCCCTGGGCTATAGTTGACTCCACTGGGAGATGGTGTGTCCACTCCCCTCAGAATCAAGCTGGTCTAGCGGGGAGCAGGGGAGAGGCAGGGTCCCCTCCACTTTCCTAGGGGCATTTGGTATGGCACACAGGTACCCTAGGCTAGCTGCCCATATGCTTACGGCCAGCCCTCAGCTTCAGCTCCATGCCTGCCCACCCTGGGGATCCACAGCATCCCTGGTCTCTGCTCAGGGAAACTGAGGCATGGGAAGGGGGTGGGATTATGCAGTTGTTTTGCTGGTTCTGGCCCCGTTGGCAGCATTCATCCACTAGCTCAGGTGGTGAGGGTCAGACCTCACTCTCTGACGGAGAGGCCCCCAGAGGATGACAGTGGGGGTGGCAGTGGGGGGGGGGATCTTGACCACAAGATTCAGGTGCAGCTGGGTGGCTGAGAGGAGCACTGACTGGGGAGGGAGTCTTCCTCTCCTGCCACCCTCCAGAATTCCCTTGCCTTTGCTTCCATATGTTGGCTGTCCCTTGCCCTCGGCTGCCACAGGTGGAGGGGCTGGGGAACTGTCCTGCCTGGGGGTTGCAACAGTTGGCTCCTTCCCACCATGAGAACCAGAGAGAGCTGGCTCCTTTTTGGCAGTGCCTCCCACGCCAAGTTCAGTGTCTGGGGGATTAGAGGAAGGTTCATACTTCAAGCTCCAGGTAGACTTGGATGTAAAACACAGGCCATCAGACCTTCGAGTTGTAAGAGGCACCCACAGGTCCCTTCAGAATCTGGCTCTGCCCTCCCCTGTCTACCTGCTCCCTGTCTCTCTCTCTGTCTGCGTCCCTTTTACTCCAGGGTCGCCTCCTTGTTTTGCCAACACAGCTTCTGCTTTTGGTCCCTCTCTGCCTTCTCTCTTTTCTGACGTCTCAATCTGCACACCTCCCCTCTTCTGATGGGGACCAGGGTCATAGAGCCCGTGGGTGCAGGAGACATACCTGAGTGTCCAGAATTCTTAGAGAAGGGACCTGGCCAATACCTCTCCCCTCCCCCTTCCCTGGTTTAAAACTTCCATCACCATAGCAACCTTTTACTCCAATGCCTTCCTCTGCATTTCCCTTCCTCCAACCACAGCAGAGCAGAGCCCCTGATAGATTCTGGGGCTCAAAGATTGGGACCTGTGGAGATTGCCTGTGGAGGGGCCAGGAAGCTACTGGCCCTGCCTGCATGTTGGGGACTGAAACATTCTGAAGGTAGCAACTGACTGTATGCCCACCCATGAGGCCAGGAGAGACCCCCCTCCTCTGACTCCCTCAGTGTGGATGTAGGAGGTAGCCAGCTACAGAAATTGTGGGCCATTGTTCCATGGAGCTGGGGGCACAGCCAGGAGGAGCCCCTGAAGCAACTGGAAGGTGGACTGTGATTTTAGCCCTTCTCGCAACACCAGGTCTGGTGAGTGAGGTTTCCACATCCCCCAAGCCCCAGATCCCCTGATCCCATGAGAAAGGACTCTGCTGGTTGTAAGCAAGGCAAGGCTTGGGCCTGGGCAAGTCTGTGTGAGAGCAGCAAATTCTGCCCCAGGCCTTGGGAGAAGAGAGCAGGGGAGGGGAGGGGATACTTGCAGGCTGGAGTTCACAGCTGCCACTAAATCTGGAGGTGTTGCCTGCAGTCAGTCCCTGGGAGGGAGTCAGAGGCCTCCTGGGCCCCTGGTGGCCTTCCTAGATTTACTGCAAGCTCTGGGGCCAGGGTGGCAGGAGACTTCCATTTATGACTGTGGCCAGAACCAGGCTGACACGGGGGGAGGAGAAAGTAAGACCCTAATGAGGAGCCTCTTGGCCTCTGTCCCAGTCAGACTTTTCTTGGATCAGACTTACCTGAAGATACAGTGGAGCCCCAAGGGTTCCCTTTGTTTCAAGGGCACCAACCACACAGGCTCCCTCAGGGTTCCCTAAGGCTGGATTACCTGAGCCCAGCGGTCAAGCCCCAGGAGCAGGCGGGAACTGGAGAGCTCTTGGTTCTCAGGGAGCAGCTGGAGGGCAGTGGCAGCATCAGCACCAGGCTCTATGCTCTCCCCTGTCTCACAGGTGCACTCTGCAGAGGAGAGAAGGGAGCTGGGACTCCAGGGTGAGAGCTGCTGTGACGCAGGCTCCTGTGCGTACTTACTTGGTCCCGCATGGACCTATCTAACGCAAAGGAGAACTAACCCCTATGTTGGGTCTGGGTCATGGGAGTGAGCTTGACAAATGCAAACCTCCTTCTCCCTGTCCTCCTGCTCTTCTTAGAACTGTGCTTTACCAGTTCCTTCAGCGTCAGGGCCAAGGTCCCTCTCCTCATCCCCCGACCCCACCCTGCTGATGTGCTTGATGCATATGCTCACATCCTCCCAGGTAACAGGAATGAAGAGCAGATGTTAGAGTGGGTGAGAGTGGAAGGGACTGAGGTGCTCATTGTTAAGCATGGCCTCCTCTTCTTTTTTCACCCTAGGCCTAGGTTTGGAGGCCCAAGCAGGAGGGTGAGGAGGGGTAGTGACTAGCTGGTATCATCACAGCCAGGATGGAAGTGGGGGTGGATCTGTGCCTGCCCCAGCTTTCAGTCCTGCAGAAGCTGATGGTGGTTCCAGGCTGATGTTGTGGGCAGAGACTCAGCTTTCTGTGGTGGAGATAAACACCCCCCAGATCAGCCCTGGGGCACTTGTGGGCATGAATGCTAATGTATTACCAAAGGCTGGGGCCAGGATCGGGGACAGGTCTACTCATAACCTGCCACCTGTGCCCCACATGGGCAGAGCCAGGAGTGGTTGGCGTGGGGGTGAGAAGTGGAGGTTGTGGAAGGTATCAGAGAGAAAGGGCCATTTTGAGTCTGGCCTTGGAGTGTCAGAATTGTTTGAGATAATTGTGTTGCACAACCAACCTAATACTAGACATCACAAGGAAGGAAAAGATTCAGCCTGGGTCTTGGCACCTCGCTCCTGTGGAGGCTGCTCCACGGGAAGCCCAGGTAGGCAGCACCCTGGCCAGCACCCAGACTTCCTGCAGTCCAGCTAGCGAAAGTCACCTGTTGTTGGATATTGAGGTAGTTGCTGATTAAAAAAAAAAAAAAAAGTTATAAATAGCTCTGCCGTGACAAACAGGATTCGGATAGGAGGCTTTGGAGGAAGGGCATTCATTCCTGCTAGGGGAACGGTGTAAGCAAGGCCATGGAGCTGGAACACTGGGGGTTCCCCAGCCCTTCTGGGAGACCTGCAAGCACAGGCAACACCCTCCTATGTGTATTCTATCCTCGGGAGGAAGTTATTGTCTTTTCAGGTGGGTGGAGGACTAAGGCGGGCCCCATCCCCTGGATGTTAAAGTGTGGAAATGGATGGCCAGCAGTGGTGGGTGGCCCTGCCTGGCTGTAAGAGTGGGATTTGAGCCTCATGCTTTTCCCCCAGCACACACAGAAGCAGGGCTGTGGCCCTGGTGGCAAAGCAAAGACACACAGCTGGCTACAATCTTTAAAGCCTCTCGCTTGCCTCTGCAGCATCTCACAAGATGGCTTAAGCCCTGGTTTGAATAATGCTGTTGAGATGTGTGTGTGTGCCCGGAGCCCCAGCAACCCAGAGGAGGGGATTGATGGCATTTGTTTTCTAAGTCTTTGGGGGATTGACCTGTGTGCCTGCATGCCTGGGAGGAAAAGAGTAGCAGCTGGGGCTGGCCCTGAGGCTTGGCTAGGTCTTCAGCTTCCACCCTGGCTGGCAGAGTCCCTGTCAAGCTGCCTCCTTCCTCTCTTTCCTATTCATTGAGGCTGTGAGTACATTCAAGGAGGGGAGATCCAGGGCTCCAGCACCGCTAGCTAGGACCCATCTACAGTAAGTGCTAGCTGACCAAGGAGAGACTAACAAGGTAAGCACAGGAGAATAGTCAGTACCACCCCAATGCACAGCTTACTGGGGTCCCCATGTCCTGCTGGATGGGCATCCTGGGCATCGTGGTTGCAAGGTCGCTAGCTTCCCTGTCTCTTAGAGAGTGTTGCCAGAGCCTTTTCCTTCGGGGTCTGGAGCCAGTCTGCTGGCAACACCATGGGGCTCAGGCTGTAACTGGTGAAGTTGCAGATCCGGGACCAGTGCTCTAGCTGCAGAGCTAGCTGTCCCAGGCTCCCTGCAGGCTCCAACACCGGGTAGGCTTGTGCTGTTCCTCCTGCCCCTTGTCCCTGCCAGCTTCCTGGCAAGCCGTTCCCTCGTGGGCCTGGCTCTCATGCTGCCTCCTCCTCCTCCAAGCTCTTTGCCTCACCCCACAGATGGGCATTTCTCCCATGGAGGAGTCCCACAAGCACTGTGCCTGAATGCAGCATTAGCTGTCAATCAGAGCAAACAGCAGCAATTCCAACAGAACATTGATTACTAAAAACTGTCATCTGTTTCTTCACTATCCAGTTCTTTGCCCTAATGAGAAGTCACGTCTTTGGTGTCCATCCAGAAAAGAGTTTGTGAGTGCATACCAGTATACATACTTAAAATGTTATCCAAATAACAGTCTTCTTTCCATTCTGTCCTTTCCTTTTTCACTTTAGCCTTCCAATACAGTACACCAATTTATTTATTTATTTTGGTTGAAAGATTTACTTATTTTGTTTGAAAGACAGAGTGAGGTGGGGGGAAGAGAGAGATTAAGATCCACTGATTCATTCCCCAAATGGCTGCAAAAACTGGGGCTGGGTCAGGCCACAGCCAGATGCCTGGAGCTTCATCTAGTTCTCCCACATGACTTGGCAGATGCCAAGCACTAGGACCATCCTCCACTGCCTTCACAGGTACATTAAGCAGGGGACTGGATTGGAGTGGAGCAGCCAGGACTCAACCTGGCACTCCTATATGAGATGCCTACGTTGGAGGCAACGGTGTAGCCCTGTGCCACACTGTAACACACTGCTGGCCCTCACAGTACGCTTTTTAATACTACAAAGTATACTGTAGTATGAGTAGCCCTTGTTTTTATCCACATTTTTATTGTGAAATATATCTGAATTTTATCATGTGCATGTATACATATTTAGAAATTCATATGAAGCAAATACCTGCATAGCTGTTCAGTGTCAGGAAACAGGCCCTTCAACGTGCCCTTAGTGCATCTGATTCAATCACATCTCCCTTTCTTCTAGAAGGCACCACTATCTGACTCTTGGTGACTACTTCCTAGCTCTTTTTTGTAGTTTTGCTACTGTGTTAGTATTCCTAAATAACATGAGTGAGTTCTCCCTGTTTTTGAAATATTTATTTAAAATATTCATTTATTTTTATTGGAAAGGGAGATATACAGAGAGAAGGAGAGACAGAGAGAAAGATTTTCCATCCATTGGTTCACTCCCCAAGTGGCCAAAATGGCTGGAACTAAGCCAATCTGAAGCCAGGAGTCAGGAACCTCCTCCAGTTCTCCCACAGGGGTGCAGGGTCCCAAAGCTTTGGACCGTATTCTACTGTCTTCCCAGCCACAAGCAGAGAGCTGGAAAAGCAGTGGAGCAGCTGGGACATGAACCTACACCCACATGGGATCCCAGCATGTGCAAAGCAAGGACTTTAGCTATTAGGCTACCACACCAAGCCCTATTTTCAAAATATTTATTACTAGGATCATATTTAATGTATTTTTTTGCACTTTTTTCCCTCACTAAACACCAAGTAAGATTCCATATGCTGGGATCAACAGTGTGGTACAGCATGTTAAGGCACTGCTTGCCAGCAACAGCATTGCTTATGGGTGCCAGTTCAAGTCCCAGCTGCTCTGATTCTGATTCAGCTCCCTACTAATGCACCTGGGAAAACAGCAGAAAGTGACTCACGTGCTTGGGCTCCTGCCACCCAAGTCAGAAATCCAAATGGAATTCTTGATTCCTGGCTTCAGTGTGGCCCAGCCTTGACTGTTGTGGACTTTTTGGGATTGAATCAGAAGATGGAAGATATCTTTTACATAAACAAATAAAAATTTTTTTAAAACATTTATTTGCTTTTTTATTACAAAACCAGATATACAGAGAGGAGGAGAGACAGAGAGGAAGATCTTCCGTCTGATGATTCACTCCCCAAGTGAGCGCAAAGGCCCGTACTGTGCCGATCTGAAGCCAGGAGCCAGGAACCTCTTCCAGATCTCCCTCACGGGCTTTGGGTCGTTCTCAACTGCTTTCCCAGGCCACAAGCAGGGAGCTGGTTAGGAAGTGGAGATGCCAGGATTAGGACCGGCACTTTTAAGGTGAGGACTTAAGCCGCTAGGCCACCGCGCCAGGCCCAAATCTTTTTTTTTTTTTTAATTTAATATGTTGGGTCTAGCAGAAATTCTTTCATTTTGCTGTATGCTATGCCATTATGTAAGGATGCTACAGTACAACTTGCTGATAGCAGTATACTTTCAAAAGGTCATGGAAAATGGAATTAAAATAGAAGATGTTTGTGTGTGTGCAGTTTTCAAATCTGTATAGTTTTTCTTTTTTTAAAGATTTATTTGTTTTTTTACTGCAAAGTCAGATACATATAGAGAGAAGGAGAGACAGAGAGAAATATCTTCCATCCAATGATTCACTCCCCAAGTGACCGCAATGGCTTGTGCTGTGCCGATCCAGAGCCAGGAGCCCAAATCCTCTTCCAGGTCTCCCACGTGGGTGTAGGGTCCCAAGGCTTTGGGCCATCCTCGACTGCTTTCCCAGGCCACAAACGGGGAACTGGATGGGAAGTAGAGCTGCTGGGATTAGAACCGGTGTGCATGTGGGATCCTTGTTTGTTCAAGGCGAGGACTTTAGCCACTAGGCCATCACTCCGGGCCCAAAACTCTTATATTTGACATCTTTCCAGTTTTTGGCTGTTATGAACATGACCGCTATAAAGCATCTTGCAGAAGTGTCCTGATGCACAAGTATACGCATTACTGTGGTGTGTCTGTGAGGGAGCATGTTTGCTGGCTCCTGGGGTAGGTTTAACTTTTGTGGTTTTACCAAACTGCTTCCCAATAAAGAAGAGTTACCTTCTGTCAGCAGTGCTCATGTCCACATCACCAGTGCTTGGTATTATCAGACCTTCAGAAGTGTAACACATGTTTCATACATGGGGGCTGCAGTCAAACTGGGTGTCCGTATTTATGGCCTGAAAGGCAGGGGTAGGAATTAAGCTTACCTATTGTCTAGTCCCTCCTCGTGCCGTTTCTGCCCCTGAAGGGCTTGAGCCACACTGGGATCTCCCAAAGTCAATCCATGTATGGTGGCAAGAAATGGGAGTGGCACGGCTGAGCTTGGCTCCCATCCTGCCTGCAGCTTATAGCTTGGCAATGCCGTTTGGGTGTGTGACTTTGGGCGATAAGAAGAACTATAATCAGCCATCGGAGGTGACTGACAGATATGATTTGGGACAAGTCATCAAGACGTGAGTGCCTCAGGCCTGTTGGGCCAGGGTTGGGTAAGGGCTGAGGAAGGGAGGGTGGGAGTGCAGCCCAGCCCATGCTCAGCCAGGGCTGAGTGCAGTGCTTGTTGGCCGCAGCGAGGAATTCTGTGAAATCTTTCGGGCCAAGGACAAGACAACAGGCAAACTGCACACCTGTAAGAAGTTCCAGAAGCGAGATGGCCGCAAGGTGCGGAAGGCAGCCAAGAATGAGATAGGCATCCTGAAGATGTGAGTGTAAGGCCTGGGGAAAGTGGGGGAGGGGTTCCAAGGGAGTAAGGGGGAGCTGGCTTCAGGCTTTGCCAGTCTCTGTTAGTCTCAGGATGCTGTGGCTGCTATAATAACCAAGAGCCTTCCCCAGGGGTTCACCCAGTCCTGACTGGTGGCTCCTTTTCCTGATGCCAGGGTGAAGCACCCCAACATTCTGCAGTTAGTGGATGTGTTTGTGACCCGCAAAGAGTACTTCATTTTCCTGGAACTGTGAGTGAGGGTCTGGGGTCAAGGCATTCCCAGACCACAGGGTCTTCCCTCATCCTGACTTCTGAAGCTAAAGAAAACCCCTCCTCCCACTCTTTCTGAACTCTTGGGGACCCAGACGCAGCCACCCACCCACCCAGTTGTTCCTGCCCCACCCCCTGATTCTATCCATGCGGGACTCAGGGGCTGGTGTCCCTCAGGGCCACGGGGAGAGAAGTGTTTGACTGGATCCTGGACCAGGGCTACTACTCTGAACGAGACACAAGCAATGTGGTGCGGCAGGTGCTGGAGGCTGTGGCCTACCTGCACTCACTCAAGATTGTGCACAGGAATCTCAAGGTAAGGCCAAGGGCCAGAGTCCAAGAGGCAGTTGAGAGCAGGGCTGGGGTGGGGAGACCTCTGGAGCACTGGTCCCAGCCCCTGATGTCTGCTCATATCTCCTTCTGCCTACTCACATGCCGTTGCTAATGGCCGGAGCAGCTGGAGAACCTGGTTTACTATAACCGGCTGAAGAACTCTAAGATTGTCATCAGTGACTTCCACCTGGCTAAGCTTGAGAATGGTCTCATCAAGGAGCCCTGTGGGACCCCCGAGTATCTGGGCAAGCAGAGGGTGGGGCTGGGGCGGGTGCGGGAGGGCAGCCTTTGTTGAGGCCTTCTGGGTAGCATGAAGAGGGGGAAGGGGATCCCCTTTCTAGAAAGTGGAAATGGTTGGCCCCTGACCCACAGACCTGATACTGACCAGTAGATCGATGTTTGTAGCCCCGGAGGTGGTGGGCCGGCAGCGGTACGGACGCCCTGTGGACTGCTGGGCCATTGGAGTCATTATGTACATCCTGTGAGTAGACAAGCAAAGCAGCCTTGCAGCCAGGAAGGGATGGGACCTGTGTTTGTGTCTGTCCTGGGTGACCCTGGCCCATGTAGGCTTTCAGGCAACCCACCCTTCTACGAGGAGGTAGAAGAAGATGACTATGAGAATCACGACAAGAATCTCTTCCGCAAGATCCTGGCTGGTGACTATGAGTTCGACTCTCCATATTGGGATGATATCTCACAGGCAGGTGAGGCAGTGCCCAGCTGTGAGTGCCAAGGTGGGGGACTGGGGGAAAGATGGGGTGCCTACTGTGCCCAGCTGCTGGGTTCTATTCCTGCTCACTCACCACCTGTAGACAGTGAGGTTGGGGTACCCATGTCTTCCCCCCTGTGGCTTTGTCCCCAGCCAAAGACCTGGTTACAAGGCTGATGGAGGTTGAGCAAGATCAGCGGATCACTGCAGAAGAGGCCATCTCCCATGAGTGGTGAGCAGGACCCCGGGGGAGGATGGACGGAGAGGCTAGGGTTCTCCTGACCTTGGCCATCAATCCCCTCACATCTTGCAGCCCCCTCCTTGAAGCCTGGGTGAGTGTAACCAGAGCTCAGGCCAGCCCAAAGGCTCTGAATGGTGGTTCCTGGGTTCCCTGGGGAAGGGCTGGGTGGCGTCTGCCCCAAAGATTTGTTCCCCTCTAATCCAGGTGTATTTCCACTCTCTATTTCTAGGATTTCTGGCAATGCTGCTTCTGATAAGAACATCAAGGATGGTGTGTGTGCCCAGATTGAAAAGAATTTTGCCAGGGCCAAGTGGAAGGTAGGATTTGGGCCATTCCCTTTCCTGGCCTGATCCCCAGTGCTTTCTTTTGGCACTTATTTCTGCAGCCAGATGTTAGCATTTCTCAGGCCAGTAGGTTTGGCAGTGACCATCGTCATGGCCTATGACAGGGGTGTTGGGCAGCTGGATTCCTGGTCCTGGGCAGGGCAAAGGCATCTGGGAACACCATGGCGGATCTATAATTCCTCACCCTGAGCCTCTCCCCGCCATCTTCCTTTCAGAAAGCCGTCCGAGTGACCACCCTTATGAAGCGGCTCCGGGCGCCAGAGCAGTCTGGTGCAGCCGCAGCACAGTCGGCCTCAGCCACAGATACTGCTGCCCCTGGGGCTGCTACAGGTGGGGCCGCAGCTGCAGCTGCCGCAGCCCCTGGGAGCAGTGCCACCCCAATCACGGAGGGTGATGCAGCCTGTGCTGCAAAGAGTGATCATGTGGCCTCTGCAGACCGTAGTGCCACCCCGGCTACAGACGGCAGTGTGACCCCAGCCACAGACGGCAGTGTTACTCCAGCCACCGATGGGAGCATCACACCGGCCACTGATGGCAGTGTCACCCCAGCCACTGACAGGAGCGCTACTCCAGCCACTGATGGGAGAGCCACGCCAGCCACAGAAGAGGGCGCTGTGCCCACTACTCAAAGCAGTGCCACGCCAGTTCCCAAGGCAGCTGCCATCCCAGAGCCGGCTGTGGCCCAGCCGGACAGCACAGCCCTAGAGGGCGCCACAGGCCAGGCCCCACCCTCTAGTAAAGGGGAATTGGCTGCTGGCTCTGTGCAGGAGGTCCGGAGGGAGGCCAGCTGAGTGGGCAGCCTGGTTGGAGGGGAGGGGTCAGGGGATGGGCAGGAGGGGAGTAGAGTAGCTGAGGGGCTTCTCATGTACATAGAGTCACTGGCATGATGCTCTCGCTTCCCCAAGCCCCCTCCATCCCAGGGGGGCATCCCTGGGGAGCCACGGGAGAGCAGTCCTGGCTCCTGTGTATATGTATGTGTGTGAGTGGTGGGCAGGCCAGAGGCAGGGCCAGCCCCAGCCCTTGCATGGATTTCTCGTGGCTTCTTCTGTCTTATGCTAGCTTCACCAGTTTCTGTTCCTTGTGGGACACTGTTCTAGGGATACTTGGGGGAGTGGGGTGTCCCCACTCTCCTTTCCCTATCTCTTTGGCCTCACCACCTCCCCCCCTGCCCAGGCAGACTCTGCAGGTCCCATACTCTCCCAGGCCCTAAACATGGGTGGCCTTGCCCTGAGAGCTGGTCCTCCAGCGAGGCCCTGTCAGTGGTCTTAGGCTCCTGAGCAAGAGGATGTGCACCTTGGCTACATGCTGCTCCTGGAGTGGATGCAGGCTGGTAGAGAGGATGTAGAAATCTAGGGCAGGATACTTCAAGGATTGATCACATGGCTGGGGGCACTGCTTGCTAGCTGTGGGGTTCCTTAGAATTGGAAGAAAATGGTAGGAGGGTAGAAGTCTCCATCTCTGTCCATGGGAAGTCCCCCCAAAGACCTTTGCATGATTTGCCCTGCTGATTCCTAAAGTGGGGTGCCCCGGACTTCCTGAGCCTCAGGGAGAAAGGAACAATGAGGGTGTGGCCATGAGACCTGGGAGAGCAGAGGGAGGGCCCAGCACTTACTGGCCCAGTTTAGCTGCAACCTTATCCTGGGGCCAGACAAGGAGAACGCTTATCCCCTCGCTTGTCCTGGATGCCAGTGCCCACAGGCTCAGCCAGCAAGTCTTCTTTATCCCAGGGGCCCTGCTGCATGGCAGTACCTTGGGGGTTTGTGATTCACAGGGCAGATTTTGTTTTGTTTTTCAATTCTTCAACAAAATGGAGGAATATTCCAAAGGCTCCCATCCAGGGCCCTGGTACCCTTGAGTCATGTTGGGTTGCTTTTGCTGGGATGAGGTCACGTGACCCTCCCCAGTTCCAGTTCCCCACAGGAGATTCCTGATGGGTACCCTCAATCAGACCGCACCACAGCCTGGACAGGCAGCCACCCCAGTCCTTGCCCTTGCTCGGCACTTGTGGTGGTCCTGCCCTTCTCCCTGCATGCCCATGGGTCTGCTCTGGTATGTGAAGGTTGGTGGGCAAACTGTGTGCCTGCTGAACCTGGCAAATAAATGTCACCCCGCAAAGCCTCCCGCTGACCTCTTGCCTTTGCTTGGTCGTAACTGGGGAGGAACCCCTAGAAGGCAGTGGGCAGGGGAGAGGTTGGGAGAAGGTGCCCAGGCTGTGGCCACTGCTTGGTGCCCTGAAGACCATCCTGATTGGTGTGCTGTTGGATGACGGCCGCGGGGCCCTCTGAGCTCTAGAAGTCAATGTGGGTGGTGGATCCTGGGCTGGGTTTGAGAGACACCTCTGGGGCTGTTCTGACTCGCATTAACCAAGAAATCTTTTTCTGGCACCCACTTGGTACCAGCTGCCACAAGGAAGAAATGTATTCAGGGCCAAGATGGGCCTTTGGGTACAGGAGCTCCAGAGGCTAGTGTACAAGGGGGGGTTCTGTCCTGCAAGGAGTCTGGTCTGCACCCCCTCTGAACACCTGTGCTTCCCACAGACACCCAAAGGACTTCATTCCAGGCCTTCTCCCATGGAGCAGGTCTGTTTTACAGGATGAGCCCCTCTAGAGGGTTTCTCGTGGGGCAAAGTAAAAAACACTACTCAAAAGCCTTGGAGGAGACTTGCTCCAGCCCATATGGGCTCCGATGTAGGAACAGTTCAAAAGATGTCTGAGTCCCTAGACTTTGAAGCATCTGAAACCTCCAAATTTTCTACCCAATGCCTCTCCCACGTGCCTAACAGATTTCATGAGAGATCAGCTAAAATCAGGGTAACTAGCCTCAGTGCCTCCAAACTCAGGCAATCCCCAGGGTTCGCCTGGCAGTGGGGGGTGGATTGAACCTTGGTACCTCTTTGCCCGCCTTTCCTGGTTCACTCAGAAGTGATGGGACATTCTTTTGGTCTGGGAACGATGCCACCGCCACCACACGGTCCCTCACTGCCCAGAAAGGAGGGGATGGATCCTGCTCCCTTAGAAAGGCTGGGGGGGGGGGATGCAGGCCTACAGCGGCTAGCGCCAGCTCTAGCTTGAAACCACCCTAAACCTGCTTTGCCCCGGGGAGGGGCCCAGACAGCGACGTCACTGCTCCTCGCCCCGAATCACGGAGGCGCACTCCGGAGCTGCTAGCTAAGTCCTGCCCCTAGACACCTGAAAACTACCGCGCGGCCCCACAGCGTTTCTCTACCGCCTCGGGGACGCAAAGTCCCGCCCCTGAGCCCGCCCTCTAGGAGTTTGTCCAATGAGGATCAGCCGTTAGGTCTCCCGCCCCAGCCCGTTGCCGTCGTTTCCTGTTCTCTCCCGGAAATCGCGCTGTGGAGCCAAATTTGAAGGAAGCGGTGGCGCGCCGGTAGGCTGTGGCCGTTTCCTTGGCTACCGGGGCCGGTGGGGTCTAACCGTCATGCCCATCCGTGCGTTGTGTACTATCTGCTCGGACTTCTTCGACCACTCTCGAGACGTGGCTGCCATCCACTGCGGCCACACCTTCCACCTGCATTGGTGAGTGAGTGACGGCGGTGGCGGGTGTGCAGGCGGCGGGTCTGGGGAGCCCAGATGGCCGGTAAGCAAGGGCCTCTGGACGGAGCCCCCCAGCCTGGGTAAAAAGAGGCAGGGTGGGCTCCTGGCGTAGGTGGTGGCTAAAGCGCGCCGGGGTCCCGGGGAGAGGCCCAGTTGGTCCAGTAAAAATGGGGTAGGCGTTTCCTCCATCACCTGTGCAGGAGCCTTCCAGATTCCTGGCCTGGGAGCTGGTGAACTCTCTCCCCACTTGGAAGCCCTTTTGTGTCCTCAGAATAGAAACTTCATAGGCTTCTAGCTACCGGCAAGAGTTTGCAGTAGTTGGCCAAGATGGTTTGGCCAAAGACCTCGGACCTGCAAACCCAACGTTACCTGGATAGGCAAGAGCCTTTCGAAGGGTCCTGCCGATTGCAGAGTGGGTAAAGTCTGTCCCCCGTAGGGAGCTCCCAGTGAGATAGGGCAGAGAGACTCTGGGGGATGGTGAATCCTAATTGTCACAGGAGGCATGTGGGACCGAGGGGCCCCGGATTTTGGACCCAGGTGCAGCCCTGAAGACTGTGGAACACTGCTTAGTTGGAAAACTGTTGAGACTCTTAGGCCCAACGAGGGGAAGCCGAGACTAGAAATCTAGCTGTTTACTCTATGTATGTTCTGTTTTCTAATCCATTTACTTTTAGCTTACTCTTAGCTTTTTTTTTTCCCAAAGATTTATTTTATTTTATTATTTGAAAGTCAGATATACAGAGAGGAGGAGAGACAGAGAGGAACATCTTCTGTCTGATGATTCACTCTCCAAGTAGCCACAATGGCTGGAGATGCGCCGATTCCAAGCCAGGAGCCCAGAGCCTCTTTCAGGTCTTCCACGCGGGTGCAGAATTTCAAGGCTTTGGGTCGTCCTCGATTGCTTTTCCAGGTCACAAGCAGGGAGCTGAATTGGAAGCAGGGCCACTGGGTCATGAACTGGCACCTGTATAGGATCCTGGTATGTGTAAGGCGCAAACTTTAGCCACTAGGCTGGCACGCCGGGTCCCCCCATGTAGCTTAAAGATGTAGAAGAGTCGACTATGCTGGTACTGGTATAATTAACATACATTTGGTTAATCAGGTCCAAAATGCCCAACACACTTGGCTGCTTTTCTCTCAGCAGTGTAACAGTTGCCTAGTTACAAGGCAACCAAGGTGGTTGCCTACAGCTGGTGTCCACTAATTTATTATTATTTTTTTTAAGATTTCTTTTTATTGGAAAGGCAGATATACAGAGGAGGAGAGACAGAGAGGAAGATTTTCCATCTGCTGATTCACTCCCCAAGCAGTCACAGCAGCCGGACCTGCACTGATCTGAAGCCAGGAGCCCAGAGCCTCTTCCAGATCTCTCATGCAGGTGCAGGGTCCAAGGCCATGGGCCATCCTCGACTGCTCTCAGGCCACAAGTAGGGAGCTGGTTGGGAAGCAGGGCCAGCAGGATTAGAACCGGTGCCCGTATGGGATCCCAACGCGTGTGAGGCACGGACTTTAACTGCTAGGCTACTGTGCCGGGCCCCACTAATTTATTTTAAATGTTCATTTATTTTATTTGAAAGGCGAAGATAAAAGAGATCATTCGTATGCTGGCTTACCCCCCAAATGCCCACAACCTCCAGAGCAGGCTGAATCAGGCTAAATCCAGGAGCTGGAAACTCAGTCTGGGTAACCTGTTATCTCCTAGCGTATGCATTACCAAGAACTTGGGGGTGGAACACCCAGACACTCTGGAGAAAAATATAAGTATCCCAAGCAGCATCTTAACCAGCAGGCCATTCCCAGAAACAGAATATTAAAGAAGTTTCCTCATGTGTTTTTCCAAATACTCTTATTAAATTCCCTTTCATTCTTCTTCATAAAGGTGAGTACTAGCTTGACTTAAGAGCATAGAACCAGGGCCTGACGCAGTGGCCTAGCGGCTAAAGTCCTCGTCTTGAATATGCCAGGATCATGGGCGCTCCTTTGTGTCCCGGCAGCCCTGCTTCCCATCCAGCTCCCTGCTTGTGGCCTGGGAAGACAGTCGAGGATATCCCAAAGCCTTGGGACCCTGCACCCATGTGGGAGACCTGAAAGAGCTCCTGGCTCCTGGCTTCGGTTTGGTTCAGCTCCAGTAGTTGCGGTCACTCGAGGAGTGAACCAACGGACGGAAGATCTTCCTCTCTGTCTCTCCTCCTCTCTGTATATCTGCCTTTCCATAAAAATAAATCTTTAAAATAAATAAATAAAGATTTATTTTATTTTTATTGGCTCCTAAGTCAGGCTCGAAAGTCAGGAGCCAGGAGCTCTTCCAGGTCTCCCACGCAGGTGCAGGGTCCCAAGGCTTTGGGCCGTCCTCGACTGCCTTCCCAGGCCACAAGCAGGGAGCTGGATGGGAAGCAGGACTGCCGGGAAACGAAACAGGTCCCATATGGGATCCCGGCACATGCAAGATGAGGACTTTAACCACTACGCTGTTGTGCCTGGCCCTGAAATAAATCTTTGGAAAAAAAAAAAAAGAGCATAGAACCATTTGAGCATTACTCCCTGAGCTTGCTGCACACTGGGGACCCTAAGATGACGTTTGGTGGCTATCCCACATCCCCAGGTACTAATGTGGTTAGGATGCAGCTTTTCCCTTCTCTCCCCTCTTCCCCCAGATGCAGGAAGAAAAAGCTTGGAAACAATGCTCTCATCTACTTTCCCTAATCTTCAACCCTTGCCACCCTAATGAGTGGTTCACATGAGTATGCATCCTTCTCAACTGCGTAAACATCATCAGAAATAAAATGTAAAAAACAAAAATAGCATAGATGAGTTTTGCCTGCATTTTTACTTTTTGTAAATGGAATGCTGCAGAATATATCTTCTATTTTTCCCATCAGGCTGCTCTTTCTCAGCAAAATGTTTTTTTTTTTTTGTGATTCATCTATAATGTTCTTAGTTGTGGATTTTTTCATTCTGCTTGCTAGGTAGTATTCCACTGTGCCTACTTAGCTTTAATTGTATGTTGCACATGATATTTGAGAAGTTTTTTTTTTAAGATTTTTTTTATTGGAAAGGCGGATATACAGAGAGACAGAGAGGAAGATCTTCTGTCCCAAAGCTTTGGGCCCTCCCGGGCCTCAGGCAGGGAGCTGGATGGGGAAGCGGGGCTGCCGGGATTAGAACCAGCGCCCATATGGGATCCACAGGCGTGCAAGGCGAGGACCTTAACCACTGCGCCACCGTGCCGGGCCCAAGAAGTTTTTTTATAGAAGAAACTGGAAGCCTAGGATAATGGTGTCATCTTCCAGAGAGGGCTTTGTTTTTCACAGGTCCTTGAGGGTAGGAAATTCTATTAATGGGAGAACACATTAAAATTTAAGGCTGGAGCTTTGCTGGATCACCTGTCATATGTTGATGATTCACACCTGAACTATGTTTTGCTTTTACCACTACTTTTTACATCTAGTTGACTCTAATTTTGAAAGTGTAGTTCTTTGGTGGGGATCTCAGCTTTAAGTGGGGTTTTTATCAAAATCCCCATCCCTGAGGGACCCTGGACTATGACTGTTCCCTCCTCCA